GATCAGGAGCGGCGAGATCCGGGTGCTCCCCGCCGCCGTCAAGAGCGTCCGCGGGAACGTCGTCGAGTTCGGGGACGGCAACCGACCCCCTTCGACGCCATCGTCTTCGCCACCGGCTACCGGAGCACCGTCAGGCAGTGGCTCAAGGTAAGCTCTCAGTCATCCACGGCAACTGTGTGCGTTGTACTGCACTGCATCATGATGATCTATCTATATCTGCACTGGCAAAAGCTAGCATGCATTGCACATTTGCGCCCATGATATCAGCTAGCTGTTCCTTGCGTGCATATGAACATGTGGCCTGGTGCGTGAGACTTTGCCGCGAAGCAAAGCTCAGACCGCCGGTACGGTCTCATATATCTGCAATTGCACGCACGCATGCTCGATCTCCCTAGCTAGCTAGCAACTCGCAACAATATACTCTAATACAAGCATGCATGTGCATTTCTCTTTTGTTCAAAGCGAGGACGGGCTGATCGGTGACGATGGGATGGCGGCGCGGAGCTATCCGGAGCACTGGAAGGGGGACAACGGGCTGTACTGCGCGGGGATGGTGCGGAGGGGCATCTACGGCAGCTGCGAGGACGCGGAGCTCATCGCCGCCGACATCAGCAAGCTGCTGCGCCCCCAGCAGGAGCAGGAGCACTTGTAGCTGTAGCTGTGTCATCCCAGCGACTGGATGCAGGAGGACGTGCTATGCCTGATAGTGAAGTAAACCGACCCTACGCCGCTAGAAAACGAAATTTCCACGCATGCTTTCCATTGTTGGCTAGAATTTAAGGAATACACTTGTCAAGAATAATATCTAACAATCGACGTCTCTCCCGTCTCAAGATTAGTCATTTTAACTATCTATTTATGGAAATTGTCTACTGTCCGCACCTTACTTTTACGTTACTGTTACGGATTTGGAAGTGGAAAATAAGCCAACCTGGCTTTTGAAGATCACTCTTGCCCGTTCCGTTCATAGTTGCTTAGCTTAAAATCAAAGAAGTCTAGATAGTGGCTGCGTAAAAGTCAATTATATCATTTTCTAAAAGTTCAAGAAAGGTCATGCACAATGCAAAACCAGTAGGAAAAAATAAGAAATGCCGATAGAGAAATTGGGAACCATTTTCCTATCAGTATATATACCAACATGAAAAAAAAACTAACAAAACTGAAGCGATAGGGATGGAAAATTTGCATGTGTGACAGAAACCATTTCCATGTCAGGTTTTAACTGTAAAAAAAATCAATTATATACTCCTCCATATCGGTAATTCAAGTCGTTTTGGACAAGGCTTGGGTCAAATATTGGAAATATAAATTATGAATAACTTTTAAGTTGTTGAGTTTAGAAATATGAAAATCATATGAATAGATTTGTCTTGAAAAGTACTTTCATAAAAATTTACATATATCACTTTCCAATAAATATTTTTATAAAAATAAGAAGTTAAAGTTATGCTTTGGAGACCGTATCGCTGTCCAAAACGACTTGAATTACCAATACGGAGGGAGTATTCAATAAGGTACTATACCCACAAGAAATTAAAATCCATGAAACAATTTCTCAATTGATTGATTGAACCCTATAATAGTTGAATGATACTATACTCGTTATATACTTGTAGTAATGTTACAACTGTTTTTTTTACAAATTCACCAAACTTACAATAGTTTAATTTTGACTAAACTTTTAAGGTCATCCTTTTTAAGACGGAGCGAGTATAGTGCAGCACATGTGCAACTATCACTACTACAGAATTGATTTGTGGAGACACCTGGTTTTCTCAGTAGGAATGGCTTAACCACCTGCTGCCACTATAGTGCCGGATTAGTAGAGGCGGCTGGTATTATGAGCCGCCCCTGAAAATGGGTCGGTGGCTAATAATACCAGCTGCCTGTACTAATCCATTTGTAGTGGTGGCTAGCTATTCAGCCACCCTTACTAATGTTCCAAGATATATATAGCAGCTCACCTTCTTTCTCCTGGGTCATTTACCATTACCCAAGAAGAAAAGAGGGGCGCCTTGGGCTACCTCCCAAAAATTACACTTTTAAGGGTGGAAATTATGATTTTGATTCCTTTGGTGGAGGAGGTGTAGAAGGTAAGGAAATGTTATTCTATTTTTTTGAAGTTTTAATGGTAGATACTCCTTCATACTAAAAAAATAAAGTTGTTTTGGACAGCGACACGGTCTCCAAAGTATAACTTTGATTTCTTGTTTTTATAAAAATATTTATCGAAAAGTGATATATATATATTTTAATGAAAGTATTTTACAAGACAAATCTATTCATATGATTTTCATATTTTTAAACTCAACAACTTAAAAGTTATTCATGATTTATATTCCCAATATTTTAACCCAAGCCTTGTCTAAAACGACTTTATTTTTTAGTATGGAGGGAGTAAGTGCTTAACTAGAGTTTTAATTTTCTCGCTCTTGTATGGTGGCTGAGGCATTTATGGAGCAAATTATACCAAAGTTTTGAAGGTACTAAGGTAAATCAACTAGGGGAACAAGATTGTACCCTTATTTAGTGTCCCTTTCTTGATTTTTGTGGACTATTAATTAGTTTTATGGATGTAGATCTAGAACTAGGATTTGGGATTTTAATTTTTTAATAATAACATTAATATTATTATTTTTTGTTTGAGAAAGGAGATTAAGTTTGCATTAAGGATAGTGGGTAAAATATTAATTATTGCTAATTATTTTTTTGAATTTTTTTACTATAGTTAAGAAAGTGAAAAAACATGTATTTGTAATCAGTTGGCTAATGAGATTGTTAATTTTTTCTCTTGCATGGTGGTTGAGAGGCATCATTTGGATTTCAAATTGAAATAAGAATGGTCTTTCACAATTATATACTGTTATATATACACTAGTTATATTTTTCCTAGTTATTACTGATGCTTATATATCTGAATTAGTCCTTTATTTTTTCTTTGGTTGATGTCTTAAAAGATGGACTACAGGAACTCTTGGATGTATGGTTCATTAAGGTGGAAGCCAGGTTTCTGTGCTGAAGTGGATAAATTTATTGAAGCCGCAGAGAAGCATGCAACGATGACCTAGAATAAAACCGAAATTCAACTGATTAAAGGCCTACACAGGCAGGATACCAGTGGTATTATATAACTGACTTGTGAAAGAATGTAGCAAATTTCAGTTAAGTTATCAACAATTTTCGGTGACCAAACTGTTGTTAGTGCATTTAAGCAACAAATTTCAGCCATATCTTCTAGTGACTTCTGAAAGTATGCATCACACAACTTAGGTCCAACATAAATACAACTAAGAGCAGTGAAGCGAACACACATGCATAACCTAACCCTAAAACCCTAACAAACTAAGAGCAGTGAAGCGAACATGTACATCCGATGAACCCTAAAACCCTAACCCTACCATAGGGGGAAATAGGCTAACCTTCTTCTTGCTACGAGCACCGTTTATTTTCTTTTGCCACCGCTACAATTTGGATTTCAAGACTTGGACTTGTCTCCGTCTGTGGCTCGCCCATGCCTTGTTTGTATGTTGAACTTTTTGACTTTTTTTGGACATGGAGCTCAAAGGACCCTTCTTGATGGACGGAAACAAATCCTTCGTGTTGGCGCCTTTGCTCGGCCGGGCAGTGGGCGGTGTCACCGCGCCTTTGCCCTAATCAGCGGCGATCGCCGTGTATCACCATTGCCATCACTCGGTAAACTACCATGACGGCGCCAACGACAAGGTGATGGTGGGGGGCCTTTGCCCTCGCCTGTGTGGCGGTGGTCGACCCTGACCTTTTAATCATTGCTTTTGGCCACGCCACGCGGTTTTGGTCTTGGCGCTCTGCGCGCGAGGCGATGATAGACACTTCACCTCTTCATTAGAATGATGAGGTAAATGAGGTCGCCAAATTTCAGGTTCATTAAGGTACTAGGATCCAGCCCCCAACCACAAATACAACTGACCCGCCACCCACCGCCAAACTAGGGGGTTAAGTTATCGAAACTAGTCTAGCTTATTGTGTGCGGGGTCTTGGCAAATCTTGGCGCCTTTGCTTTCGGCCGGCGCCTACCGCTAGACAACATTGTCGCGCGTGCTACATAGGCGATGGGGTTTCGCAGAGAGGGGAGGCGAGATAGGGTTTGGGAGAGGAGGGTGCGGAGTGAGCGAGGAGGGGCAGTTATACATTTATTTGTACCAGAGGTGCGACTACAAAGCCAATCGCGCTCTACAAATGGTTCATCAGAGGCGGCTGATATCATCAGCCGCCTCTGAATAATCATTTGTATACTTGCCTCTTTATTTTTTGTAAAGAAATTCGACAAAGTTTTTGTTATCTTTTAGAAAAGAATTACTGGTCGTAATTTTCACAATTTCATTGTAGGTACATATGCCAGGGACATGTTCTACGTCTATGGTTTGTTTGACATATTTTTTCCTCATCCAGTTGGTGCACACTCAGCTAGCTGTGGAGAAATTGCTTTGCTGGGCTCCTATTCTAGTCACCTCGATTTTCAAAGTTGGTATCCTTGACGCCAAAACTCATCTCAACAGTTAGGTCTAATTATAGTGATGTGCAGGACTTTTGGTTGCTAAAAAAAAAAGCAAACACGTCATATTTTGTCTGTGTCCCAAACGTCGGCCTACAGTATAGAAAACGTCGCACGCAACAATGAACAATAATCCAAAACGAAAGAGTACGAGGGCGCTGTGGTGTCTAGTGTGGTGATAAGGCACATGACCGGTCGAGTGGATGAGAAGAGCTCCGATGACAGTAATCCCGTGAGCTGGGGTCGCTGTTTCGTGGGAAGCTAAGCAAGGCGTGGCATCAGCCACCAGATCACCACCGTCTTGAGAAAGAGAAAGAGAAGCACATGCAACAGGCGTCGTTTCGATCCGAGAGCTCCAGTAGGAGAGTACCAAGAAAGGGAAGCAACAATGATGGCAACAGGTGGCGCTCCGGAGGTGATCGTCGTGGGGGCGGGGCCGTCGGGGTTGGCGGCCTCGGCGTGCCTGTCGATGCGCGGCGTGCCGAGCCTGGTGCTGGAGCGCGACGACTGCGTGGGCTCGCTGTGGCGGAAGCGCACCTACGACCGCCTGTCGCTCCACCTCCCCAAGTACGCCAGCGCGCTGCCGCACGCCCCACACCCCGCCGACGCGCCCAACTACCTCCCGCGGGACGACTTCGTGCGCTACCTCGACGGCTACGCCGAGCGGTTCGGCGTCCGCGCGCGCACGCGCCTCCGCCGCGACGTCCGTGCCGCGCGCTTCGACGCCGCGCGGCGGCGGTGGGACGTCGAGGCCGTCGACCTCCAGACCGGCGAGGCCGAGCGGTACGCGCCGAGGTTTCTCGTGGTCGCCACGGGGTCGTACGACGAGAAGTTCGTGCCGGAGGTGCCCGGCCTGGAAGGCTTCCCCGGCAAGGTGATGCACGCCAGTGAGTACCGGTCGGCGAAGGGGATGATGGGGAAGACCGTCCTCGTCGTTGGCTGCGGCAACTCCGGCACGGAGATCGCCCTGGACCTTGCTGAAGCCGGCGCTATAACCTCCATCGTTGTCCGCAGTGAGGTAAGCACTGTCACAGATTTCCTTTTCTTCTGCAATATAAAAAAGGTAAGCACCGTTAATTAGTTGATGCTCGGAGCGCTAGCCCGGCTGCGTGCCGCCGCTGCAGCTCGTTCTCGTTGTCGCCCGCCCGCCAGCCACGCGGCGCTCGGGCTGCCGAACCGTGCTTTTGCCGCTCGAGCTCGCAGCCTCAGACCGCGTCCGTCAGCCTGCAGCCCCACCGCGCAGCGTTGGCCGCTCGAACTTGCAGCCTCGCGCCGCGTCCTGCCATCGACGCTGAGAGACGAGGCTTCACTGAATTGAGCGGATCAAAATGATGGGGGAGGGGATAAGATCGGGTTCTGCTGACCCACATGTAAGGTGGCAGTCCACAGTCACCGGGAACGTGGTCCAGTACTGTGCCACATTCCACGTCCCAGGAAGGCGCGTTCGGTTCCGGGAACGCAGGATCAGTTTCGTTCTAACCCTTTTCTCAAGAAGCGTTTCGCACCGTTCAACGACCACTTTGTGACTATGGGTGGCACAACTATCAGATGGGTATCGATCAGGCTGGGGTCATAAAGCAGCAGATATGGTGATTCTCTAGTGGGCCACTTGCAAGTGGCTTCTTCCTAATTTTCTCTATAATTCTTTCTAATGACATTAACAAACAAATATATTCATATTATGTCAGGTGATTGTAAGTTTTCTATTCCTTCGATTTTTTTTTTTCCATCCAAACAACTACTCAAAGTTTCCTATGGTTTTCAATCCCCTATTTTCCATGTGCGATCCTATCATATTCCTCTATTTTTTCCTATTTCTGTGTTTTTCAATCCTGCGTTTCCAATATTCCTCTATTTTTCTTATTCCTGTGTTTTGCCCACGTATACATACCCCCAGGTCCTATAATCTATTAGGCATTAGCAAACTAATAAGAAGAGAGACATAGAACTGTTCAGGCAGCCCAAAACGACAACATCAGCATTTCTTTCCTAGTTTCCTTTCTCCACGGCTCTCGGGTAGAGAGGAGGTTAAGAGTCACGCTGCACACAGCACACTCTGATCGTGAGTTCGCGACGTGCGTCTTACACATGCGGAGCTGGCGAGCCACACCGTCGCGAAGAGCTAGACTATCGGAGACACGAACATGGCACACGAGGACGACGACCAGTCAGGGCTCCACGACGACGACATCTTGATTCTTGGCTTCTTATGAATTGCGATCACTGATCGATTGTTTAGGCCCAAGGTATTTTTTTTTTTTTTTTTTTTTATCCAAATTAATTATTTGTATAGTATTCCAGACTTCTAGTACTTTGTATCCATATAGTCATATTTTTCTTCTAATTTAGGTGTTAGAATTTTAGAATGTTACCTAAAAAACATTTGTCATGGGTGAGAAAAGAAAATGAATATATTGTTTTTTTTCAATCTACATTGTTCGTCGATAATTATCATACATCTACAAATATATTGCTTAATCTACATTGTTCTTCGATAATTATCAGACATATTAAATTAAAAATATGTTATTGAATTTGTTTTCATTTTGCAAGTAAAATTAGCGCCTATATATTATAAGATTTTATATATGATCCAGAGAGGCCGTTGCGACGAAATCGCCAGAGTGCCCTTAAGATCCTAGACCGGCACTGCCATTTGTAGTCCAATTAGCAGCAACTCTTATTCAGGGTAGCAAGCATTAGATCCACCACCCGCAGCACCTTAACGGCTGCTCTCTCAACACGACCAACCGTCTCCTCCCAAGTTGTTGCAGCTTTCTCTTTGTTCTTTTCTCCTCCTTAAGGAAACGATAGCAAGCTATCTCCACGGCATGCCCCTCCAGTCCTCCACCAATCCAACAAGCAGTGAGCACCACACCAGCTCCCCTATATTTTTTTTCCTCCATGGCTACATAAGTAGATAACCAGACCTGACGGCCGGAGAGCACAGGGGCGCGGTTAGATAGCACGGAGAGAGCGCAGGCCTACAGATGCCGAAGAGCATGCAGGCCACAGAGCTGGCCAGTGGTGATGGCGAGATCACGAGGCAACCATGAAGAACGATGGTGGCCATGCTATGATGTTCCCGTCACTGGTTGCTTGTTCCCATCACAGACTTGCTTCAGAAAAATCTCGGTGGCCCACTATGGCCCCAACATATATATATAGGCGGAACCGCCTATGGCAGCAGCACCCCAGCTTACTTTTTTAGGGGCCACAACTCACCACTTGCATGCTGCAATGTGAGAGAGAAGAAATGACATCATTGTCTGAGTTGGAGAAATTGACAGCTACATGATTTTCTCTCTAAATAAATCAATTCTTAGAGTTGCCAATCCGATCCTTGAACTCAGTAAATGACATTTTCGGGTCCCTAAACATGGCTTGGTGTCATCCGACTTTAAAGAGGTCCCAACCTACTCCCTGCGCTGACATGGCAATGTGATATGCTAGCTGACTATGTGTGTGGACTGACATGTCGGTCCATCAGTCCTCTCCTCTTCTAGCGACGGATCAGGGTTGGCTCTAGCTACCACTGTTGTACTATAGGGCGGGACAAGGGCATGGAGGGGAAGTCGATCACGAAGAAGTGGAAGAAAAGTAGGGGTGTCAGCACGGCGAGCAAAGGAGAGACAAGATATATGGTTCGAACATGTTGTCCCCAGATGATAGGTCCACATCAATACACGGCTACCATGTCGTGTTAGTGTAGGAAGCCAGCCAGGACGTTTCAAAAAAAGGAAGCCAGTCAGACTGGTCAGCACCCAAAGCCAATTTAGGGACTCAAAATGATATTTTCTAAGTTAGGGACAAGGACGACACATGGAGCCTACCAAGTTCAAAGAGGCCACCACCACTTCATATCCCAATCCCCATGCCTCCTGAAGGCGGCCACCGCCTGCCACTCTTCCTGGCATGTGATGAGTCTCCAATGACAACGAAGCCCTTCGCCAAAAGCAGAGGCTGGCAATAGCATGCGTGGGAGAAGAGGTGGGAGGAGTGGATTATTAGGATTGATCTCATCCGACTCAAATCCAACGATTGACCGCGTCCTGATCGGGGACGCACAACCGACTCCACGACCGGAGGGGCCTTCTAGGGTTCCTTCGGTGGGTCTGTGGCGGCGGCAAACCTCGTGTTACGCGCCCCTGACCCCACCTTTTCTCTTTATAGCGCTGTGTGACAGGGGCCCGCCGACCAGGAGTCGGTTGTGGCATCCCCTCCCCGATCAGGACACGGTCAAGGGGTCCGACTCAATCGTTGGATTGAGTCGGATGAGATCAATCTTAACATGGATGTCATAGGAAGGAGTGTCAACCTGTTGCCATTAGACCGGAGGAGGCGAGGTGCTGCCGTTAGCCAACTTATGATAGGGCGGCTGGCTGGCTAGGTGCTTGGGGCTGAGGCCCGGAGGCAACTAGTTGCTAAGTTGGGAGTGGGAGTGACTGAGGGCGAGGTGAAGAAGTTGTGGTTTTCTAGTGGCTCAACATGTTGCATTGGCCCACTAAGAGCAAGTACAACAATTGTCTTATAGCCAAGCTAATCCGCATTTTTGCTGATGTGGACGAGAGAAGAGAGGAGAGAGAAGAGAGCTCGGCTCTCATGCAAACAACAAGCTAAGCAGGGAAGCATAGGCAGTAGTGGATCCCAATAGAGATGTATGTGAGGAAGAATAGGAAAGAGAATGAAAACATATAATAATAAAAAAGTGTAGACAAATAGAAGACTAACTATCGTATAACTTAGCTCTTATAATTTGACTTATAGCCAAGCACTTGGCTCTATTATTGACCTTGCTCTAAGCTAGCTATATAGTATAAGGTACTCCTCTGTCCCAAAATAGATAACCTTATAGGTCTAGGCATGAAAATTAATGAGTGAAAAAGTATGATGCACAAAAAACAAGAAGGAGAGATATAGGTAGAGATAGAGATCGAGATTTATTGGAAAAATAGAGAGTTGTATTGGCAAAACAGAAAGATGCATTGGAATGTGAGAAAATCAAGTATTTTGAGATAAAATTTGAATCACGTAAGGTTATCTATTTTGTTAACGGAGGGAGTATATTGGTTAATAACCAAGGTCTAAGACCAAATTGATCTTAAATGTTTTGGTTTCGATCAGTTTGAGTTCGTTCTGGTTAGTTAGGTACGGTTCGGCTATTTGATTCCAGTCATTATGCCCACTCTGATCTACCTACATGTGTGCGCAATTGATGAGAAAGCATAGATCAGCATATGTGATCTCAAAGCTTTTCTTGATATCAGTAATTGGATACTCTTCTTTAGCCCCACGTACTTATGAGATGAGAATGAATCCTAGAATTTTTCAACAATAATAGTCCTCACGTCTAGTTTGTTTTCTGAAAAATATTCATTTCTATCATTATGTAAAATGGTCAAAAGAAATTTCTAAATCTATAAATGACTCACCTATGCTATCATGAAAAATAACAAATTATTTTTCAAAAATTTGTATCTGACTTACCTAGTTTTGCCATTGCAAAGAAATATCCCAAAGTATGTTTATGTACCTATTTTGGAAGTCATGCTACAAGAAAAAAAAAAGATGAGACTACATACACATGACGTCCCAAAGCTTATGCACAAGAAAATAAAAGATGAGACTACATACACATGACGGAAGTCATGCTCGCTTTGGAATTGATCCTGAATTTGCTGGGTGTACAGTGTACTCTCAAGTCTACATATCCTTGCCAGGATCGCTAATGCTACTACCCAAATGAAACCAAAACGTATCGGTCTCCTAATAATTATTAATCTCAGATAGATGGAATTGCTATTCAGGTTCACATCCTCACGAAATGGATACTGAACCTGGGAGTGACGCTGGGGTTTTACCTGCCGGTCTGGATGATCGACAAGGTGGTGCTGCTCTTGTGCTACCTCGTGTTCGGGGACACGTCCAAGCACGGGATCCCGAGGCCGGCCATCGGGCCCTTCGCCAGGACGCAGCAGACCGCAGCCCTTCCCGTCATCGACGTCGGCACCTACAAAAAGATCAAGAGCGGCGAGATTCAGGTCAGCCAATGGAGCTCTTGTTAGTTACTCCAATTCAGTCTTTCATTAGATGATGCAGGCTGTATGTCTTCGTTCCAATGTTTCAGACGGTGCATTGGCATTGGAGCTGTGAACTGTGACAATCCATTTCAAATAATTCTACTGGTAATTGTTGCGAGATCAGGCGCATAATGAGATCATCCCTGAGGCATCTGTTGTGCTATGTGGTCTCAATCTCCAGGTTATACCAGCAGGCTTGAAGAGAGTGCATGGGAACATTGTCGAGTTCGCCGACGGCAGGCAGTATCCTTTCGACGCCATCGTCTTTGCCACCGGCTACAGGAGCGCGATAAAGCGGTGGCTCCAGGTTCGTCCCGACCCCCTAGCGATGGAAGCCATGATCGTTCCATTCAATTAGTGACAGGGAAAATAAATTAAAGATAAGAAAATTGCAGGACGGCGGCGATCTGATCAGCGACAACGGGATCCTGAAGCAGCGCAGTCCGAAGGCAGAGAACGGGCTCTATTACGCAGGGCTGTCGGGGAGAGGCATCTTCGGCAGTGCCATGGACGCAGAATTCATTGCCGGCGACATCAGCAAGCAGCTGTTGCCTCAGGCCCAGGGCAAGCCCGATCACTAGCTGAGTGAGCATGCAAACAGAGATCGACAAAAGAGTCTAGCTCTAGATGATGTTCTTAGGGCTTTATAGCTAGGAACTTGTGGCCATGCAGGTAGGGAGCTTGCCTATTTATGGTTGGAGATGCATGCATGCGTTGATAGATAACTTTTTTTCCTAAGCCCACAAGAACATCCTCAACAAAAGTGACTGCCCGTAGCAATATCTGATCTGTCCTTTGAACAACAACAGTTGTTGAAGGCATCTCGATAACATGCTATGGGCAGTCGGTAGGTGTGCAAGCAGACACAGGTCATAAGTGTGTAGAGAAGTTTATGACCGGGTTTAGAATAGATGGCCGTACTATCAAGAGGGGCAAACTTGTTTGCATATCGGTCATCTAATGCCACTCGAGTGATCTAACATTGCGATATTGCTAGGATCGAGTGGCGTGGTGAGTGCAAGTGAAAAACCCTTTGAAAAATGTTTGTGAAAATGCTAATACACTTGCACTTGGTGATGTGCATTTGGTGGTGTTAACACATTTGCGAAGAAAAGGAGGAGAATTGCTCACTGGGGAGCATCGGACGCTGGTGCAGTTTGCACCGGACGCTAAGTGTTAGCGTCCAGTGGCAAACCCTAACACGGCTCTCGCTATAGTGTTGCACCGGATGTTGAGTGAGAGGCGACCGAACGCAACGCTCGCACTGTTCACCTGGAGTCTGAGCGTGCACCGGACGCTGAGGTAGCGTCCAATGTGAAGTGCCGGACACGTCCGATGTGAAAAAGGAGGCTCTGGGAGCTCTCTGCGTTCTACCGGACGCTGGGCATAGTAGCGTCCGGTGTGACATCGGATGCTGGGAGTCTGGCGCGCGTGGAGTCGACCGTTGGGTGCCAATGGCTCTCTTCAAATGGCTAGTACACATGGCGAGCAGCGGTACACCAGACGCTGGCGCGTAGCGTCCGGTGCACCCGGTTTAGTGTCCGGTGTGGGCGCAGAAAGCCCAATGAAGGGTTCCAACGGGGTCTATATATTGGACCCTTGGCTGGCTTAGGCCGGCTGTTGAGCACCCTTGGGCCTTTGTGTCTTGTGTAGGTGTGCTTGGAAAGCCCTCTAACTCACTTGTGCACATTGCGATTGCATCTGATTGCGAGTGAGTGATTCTAGTGCGTTGCATTGAGAGATTGCAAGGTGTGGCACTAGGTGTTCGAGTTGCAAGCCGGTGGTGCTTGTTACTTGTAACACCCTAGGTGTTAGTGAAGCCATTAACACTAAACATGTAATCATTAACTTGGTTAATGATTGGTTAAGTTAAGGTTAGTGTATAAAGGAACTCAAAAATACGATGGAACAAAAACAAAATCACTAAACAAGAAAAACAATGCAAGTTTGTCAACTCATCTTAAGTAGCACAACTAAAACCCTAACTCACCAATCCAACTCATCTTGATTAAACAACAAATATATAGTGATCAAAGGTGCCTTGATCACACTTTAGACAAAAGCACTTTCAACACACTAATGTAAGGTTACTCCTTTAGTCTATAAACCATAATTCCTAGGTTAATCTCTAACTTAAACATTACAAGTCAAAGCAAGTCAACCTAAGCCAACTCGAGGTCAACACTAGTTAACACGTAGCTTAAGTAGTGGTTCTTTATCATATCAACCTTAGGTCACTTGACTAAAGGCAACTAGGGATAAGCAACTCACCATAGAAGTTAAGCTCGTGTGGTGGTAAGAATGTAGAAGTCAAATCTCTCAAACAAAGTCAAACTCTATTTTGGTGAAGAGGTAATTAAGAAATTGATTAAAATAATTATTAATGACCAAAAACATAAAATTAATCCAAATCACTCAATACATGAAATACAAATCCCAACTCGTCGCTTGAAGGGATTGGAAAGAAAAGAATAAAGAGAAGGTCACATGAAATGATTAAACACCATAAGCTCTATCTAGCCTTGTTAAAAAAATTAGTGTCATATAGTGTTTGACCAAAGTCAACCATGTGACCAATAGGTTCTAATTAAGTTGATGAACAACTTTTATTAAGACCTCAACCCTAGGTTATGTAAGGAAAGGTGACCTAAATGATCAAAACCTTAGTTTCCTAATAATAGCTTAATAGCAATTTTAGAGAGCTAATAAATGAATAATTAACTAAACACTCCAAATTTCACCAAAATATGAAATATAGTACAGCTCATGTACTTTGACATAGTACAAAGCAGTAGCTATGAAATGAGTTCAAAAATGGTTAAATTTGGAACCCAAGTTTGAATTCGATTCAAAGTATAAGTTGACTTAGAATTTTTCTGTCTGAATTCAGCAAGTCAACACGTTGACATGTCACATTATCCAAATTTTGTTAAACAACAAACTTTGATCTAAATACAAAAGTTGGAGTTTAATGTTTAAACTAGCACTTGAACAAGTTTGACTCCGTTGGACCTTCCAAACAGTGGCAAAAACAGGAACTCCTAAACTCTAGTTCATGCTCTGATAGTCCACGCTTTAGCTCTAATTATCCACTAATCCAGATCCCTAATGATCCTAAGCCCTTAATCAAAGTTGTAGATCAATTTGAGATAAACAACTTCTATGTTGGGCCCCACACTAGTTTCCACACGAAACATGCCACAAATTTAATACTAATTCAGTTACAGAGAGAACCGCCATCTGTTGGATGAAATGCCACAACGGGGGACACGCGCCTTGACCACGTGTTGGCGCGCCCCTGCTAACTTGCGCTGCAAGTCCGGCTTGCCAGCTGCCCCTGGCTATCCCGCGCCCCAAAGCCACGTCGCTGGCTGCGCTCACACCACTTAGCCGCGATCCGCAGCCACGCGCCCGCCACCGACATCGTCGCACCGCCTTGCCCCGTCCGCTGCCCGCGTACCACGCCACCACGGCCAGCCGCCCTTGCTTCGCGCCAGCCCCGGATAAGCACCGACATCGCCTCCCCGCGCTGCCGTGCCCAACTGCCCGCTGCCGCGTGCCCCTGCTCGCGCGCCCGGTTAGCACCTCCCCTAAACCGCCTCTGGCCGTGCCTTCGACGCCAAGGCAGCCCCAGCAGCCCCGAACCGCCATTGCCATCCATGGCTATAAAAGCCAGAGCACACCCGCCATGGATGCCCATCGCCTCCCATTCAAATTCGCTATGCACGCACCCTCTTCCTCCAATTACTCTCACACACGGATGACCAAGGTCCCTAGATAGCCCCGGAAGAGATTGCAACGAGCGCCATCCACCGTAGAGCCTACACCGGCCATTTTCCTCGCCGCCGGTCACCATGCTCGCCAAACCGAGCTCCAACGTGGTCGTACACCCTTGATCCTTTTCTCCGAGTACCTTTCCACGTTTTGGATCCGAAATGATTCCGTACACCTCCCCATTTCACAGTTCGTATGGATAAGCTTCCGTTCTCCGGGAACGACCTCGTCACCGCCATGGCCGCGCGCAAGATCCGCCCGCGCATGTGGCCAGCATCACCCCGATCCCCTCCGAGCAAACCAACGCCACGGGAAGTACCATGGTGAGCCCCTGTTGCTCTTCCGACTCCCCGTTCAATCTCTACCACCGCTGTCTCGTCAGAACGCGTGCGCCGTCGCCGGCAAACTCGCGCGCACGCGGTCAGCCACACTCGGCTTCGCCATCGTCACCCTAGCGCACCCCGTCGCCACGCCCGACTCCGCGTGAGACCGCGCCCACGCAGGCCATCTTTCCGCTGCCGCCGAGCCTGTGCATGTGCTCTGCTCGGCCGGATCTCAGGGACCGGGGAGATGTAAATACAAACATTTTTAGGGGCCAAATCGCGAAGACATAGACTCGTTGAAATAGTACCAACCATACTCGTGTGGATAGCAAAAACATTGGGGGCTTTTTGGAGAAAAGCCGCCCGCGGCCTGGGCTTCGCCGTTGGGCTGGCCTGCATTGACCAGTTAGACCGAGCCCACTCGCGGTTGGACTGCGCCTGCCCTGTGCGTCGGACCAGCTGGGCCTAATGCGGCCCGCGGTTCGTCTTGTAAATTACATAATAAATCCAATAAGAATCATAAAATCGTAACTCATAAAGGCCCCGTTCGCTTTGCTGAAAAAAGAAGCCAAAACACTATTCTAGCTAGTTTGTTGTGAGAGAAAATTATTGTTCGGCTGATTTGGTGAACAGTAAATTAAGAGGGGGAGCAGCCGGCTGGCTGGTCTTTCTAGACCAGCGAACGGCTCCAAAAATCTGTACTACCCAGTGAGTGTATAAAACACCCTATTTTAATATGAAACGATTACTGCAAATAATAAACTTGGTTTGTTATAAATAAATAAAATAGTTGTTGTGCTCCAAAAATTATGAAATTTTTATGGTAGCTTACTTATGCTATATGTGAATTGTGATAATAATTTCATGACCATTAGAAACTGTATGTGTAGGGTACCAGTTTACCTTGTGAAATGCTATTTAAAATGCTTTAATATAAATAAAAGAATGTATGAATATAATGTATGATCCAAATAGTAATCTTAGTGTTATTGTGCACCTTAGGCCTCTTATAATACTTTGGAACTTCAGAGAAATGTGGAGAATTAGATCTATCATGTGTCACATGGTTTGTTGCAAAAATAAATAATGGTCATGTTGGTAAAGGTTGATGTGTTTCTCCTTTTTGATGGCATGCACCTAAGTAATTTACTTAGGTTAGAAGTAGAATGCTAATGACCTTAGTACATGTTAGCAAGATAATAGCTTTATCATGATTAGCTCCCAACCAGGATGGTTTAATGTTAGCACAAGTATTGTTATTTAGGTTACATACATAAGATAAAAATGACAGGTTTAGTAATGTTAAAACATTACCCATGTGTCTCCATTAAATAATTTGTCTCCCACATATATGTTTGTCTTTAGGTACACATGTTCCCTTTTGCTATTAACTAAGCTTACACCCTACAGGTGGCATGTTGCTTGACTGTAGTTGAGTTAATAGTCAACTCATGATAAACTAAACAACTCACAAATAAAGCTAAGCAGTACATGCAGAGGTGTATGAATGGTTGTAATGTGCATGTCATTTTAGTTTAATGTGAGCTTAGTAGATGATAACTTGTGACTTTACTTGACTTGAACATGTATATGTTAAGATGCCACACTTAACCCACACACATCATCCCATATTCTTTTATGAAGTTGTTAGTACTTAATTGTCAGTAAACGAGTGTCTAGTGAGGAAAACTAAAAGAGAGATACCACCATATGAAGCATCACCTTACCACCTAATAAACATAACCAAATCTAATTAAACTAAGGCTCTCATGTTAGTAATTAAAGTGTTTAATATGTTGTAATGCATAAGGTAGTTCACATGTTAGCCCTACTTATTTTAATAAGCCCATTTGACTATGCTTGTGTGACTTCATCTATGGCTTTGTATGCTATGGTAGCTTAGTCATCTACATAGATAATATGTTTGTATGTGTGTTCATGTGATATATTGTTATTCTAGTTAGTAATTATAACTATGGAACCTAGTGAAATCACTATAACAAACCTCAACTTTAAGCCACCCCAACTTGTTGTAACCAAAGAGATAACTACATCATATGTTAAATTGGAGTAAAGTTGAACCTAACTTAATAATCAACTTTTGTAGTAAGTCCCTTCGGTGAGGATGAGAGTTGGACCTAGAATGATTCATTGCCTTAGTTCACCGCTGAAATGATTCCACGTGTATTACTTTCTTGTCATCTTTATAGAACATCCTTTTTTATGCATCTATCTTTTGTACTTGCATTTGCATCAATGCATATCATTTAGGTATGATGGTGGATTGATGGATCATCTGAAGGACGTTGGAGTTGAACCGAAAGATGATGTAATGGTGGACCAATCCAGAAGATGGTGTGGTGGTGATCATGACTTGAAGATAACGCAACATACTAACTTTTAGTTACCCAAGGCAAGCCCTAGTGCATAACCCTTATTTTTAATCACTTTTCTATTTATTGTGCATTAAGTGTAGGAGTTGATTGAAACCTACATGCTTAAAGATCTTGACCTATGAGTCATACTAGCTAATAGGCTCATATAATTGCTATTGCTTAGGAACTCGGTAAATGTGAGCAACCTGCCGTTGCTCATAATAGGTTACACACCCTTACCTATAATATGGAACTTGGGAAGATAATAACTCAAGACCGGATGGGACATGGTGTTGGGAGGCAGCTAGGGCTTGGCCCTGGTTGCATGATTTTGGATTTGGATATGGTTTGAGCAACAGAGCGAGGCTCTATTTGCATTAGTCCCGCCTGTGTCCATTGAGGACCGTCCGATGTTAGCCTGTTTGGTGAAGTTTGAACGCACCAACACATAGCAAGGTCCCGAGTATGGTTGACCATGAAACCTGTTACCTCTCTAAGCTCTAAGGGAACCTCGAGGGCTTATCAGACCGCTACGCTGGCCCCTTAGGTAGTAGTCAGGTGGTGGGGACTGCGGCTGTAACCACGCTTTGAGCTTGCATTGGGCATGGCCGGTGGGTTGGGTCCCTGGGCAGGCTAGGTCAGTCTAGACCTTGGTTAGCGAGATTAGGGAAGGGTTGCCTTATGAGGATCCTTGATCAGGTCCGTACAGGTGTGTGTTTGGGTTTGCCCAGCTAGGATGTAAATCGATTGTAATCACCATCTCTCCTCGGATATGGATACCACTTTGCCACTGACTATCATCATAGTTAATGCAACTTGAACATGGATGATGATGGAGAAGAGGATGAACATGGATACTATTTGGATTGCTTACCACATGCTTGAAAGTAGTTTCAGGTGCAAATTCAGAATGGTTAAGTAAAGAACCTACACTTGACCGCTAAAACTTGAATATAAGGACTTACCTCTAGTAATCTTTTGAAAAAGATAAAAGAACCAGCAAACCAAAATCCCTCTGCATATCCTTTGAGAGTCGGGAGACTACTCCCACGTTGACGGGTAAGTCTTGTTGAGTACACTTCAGCACTCAGGTTTTTCCCCCTGTTGTAGGTAACAGGTGGAAGCCGGAGCAAACTATATGTGTGAATACCTCTTGGTGGGCTCAGCGAGGATATCCTTTTTCGCTGCGATTGTAGAAGTTTTATACTTATATTTGTACACTAGATGTTAGGTTGAAAACTGTTTACTTCCGCTGCTTTTATAAAAATGTACTTATCTTCCGCTGCTTTACAAAAACTTGTTTTTTAATAACTCCGATGTTGTAATCTTGTAATCATATAATATAAGAAATGGTTTTGATGTTTCAAAGTTTTGTCTACTCATTTGTGATCCTGATGTAAATGTGGATTGTTTTGGGATCTCCCTCGGGGTGGTCTCGACAAACTACCGGGTTTGACTTGGTCTCTCGGATACTTAGTGTCAAATGGCTAACAAGTGCACTTGGGATTAGGTTAAGCTGGGTGGTTTTGCCACATTACTCTTGGAGGTTGCCACCTCCTAGATGGCTTGGTGGTGAGTTCTCCATTGTGAATCCCGCAAGAAGATTGTGCGGTGCTCTAGAGAAGTGATTGTGAGGGGTATTGTGCTCACCCCACGGGAGCCACGAAGAGCAACTCTAGTAGAGCGTGTCATTGAGTGCCCTCATCTTGTGGAGGTTCTTATGGCGCCTGAGTGAAGGGCTAGGCATGATGCCTATGAGCGTGTGAACTCCCAAGTGAACCGGCCAACACAATGGGGACTAGCTTGTTGGCAAACAAGTGAACCTCGGGAGAAAAATCACTGTGTCAACCTTGTCATCATCTTATTAGTGGTTTGCAATTTACATACACAAGCTCTTTTACTTCTTGTTCATATATGGTGCTTGTGTAGTTGCTCTTGTAACTAGTTAGCTTGAGTAGCTTGCTAGTTGCTTTCTTTGTTTGTGTAGCTTAGAAGTAGCTCCCTTGTGTAATTAGTTGGCGTGAGTAGCCTTGCTAGTTACATTGCTTAGTTTGTGTAGCTAAGTAATTTGAGCTCTTTAATTTGGCTTATGTAGCCTTGTTATTGAGCATTGCTAGTGAGCTTATGCTTTGTGCGCTTTGCATCACTAGTTTGTGTAGGAGCTCTCCGGTTTGCTTAAAGTACTAGTTGCATAGGTTTGTGTGATCTTGCAAGCTAGAATTGTTTAGGTGAGCTCTAGCTAGCCCAACACCTTTGTTGCCTAATTAGGATCTTTGTAAGGTGCTTGAATTATAGATAGAGGGGTGTAGTCTTGGCTAGACCAATAGTTTTAATTCCGCATTTGTTTCGGTTAGCCGGTGCGATTAATTTTAGAAAGGACTATT